ATAATTTTATGCTTCCTTGATACTCGAAAATAAATGATACTAACATGATTCATACGTATTCCAACTTGTATCAAGATTCCAACAACATATTCACATGCTTTCATATAAATTCATGGAACATCTAACAACAATTTCAAGCATCAAATCAACCAAACATGCTACTAATCCAATACTCTTGATACATAAGAAAACTCATATTATGATACTACGCATAAACAAGTTGTTCTACGCGTATATGTACCTCGAATATTGCCTTAACTTGGCCACACTCACTAGAATTCGCTTAACTCAAAACTTCCTACACATAAAAATACATAACCAAAATTAATAATCCACTACTTATACAAATTTTGAGCTACTTGTAAACATTTTAAACCTTACTAAACAACCTAAATTTTTGTTAAAAGCCTTAAATCCTTCTTTTTAGTGGGTACTTAAAACTCTTTCAAGATAATTCAATTTCAATGATTTTAATAAAATTCCATCACACTTTTTAATAAATAAACATCACAAATAAACCAGAAAATTATATTTAAATTATTAAATAGTATTTTCCCTTTTATATATGGGTAATCAAACCCTAACATAATAATTAAAGAGTAGTGTGTATAATTAATTTCCAGCATTAATTAGGGATTAAATCATCAATTTAACAAGGAAAATAATTTAGAACCAAACCCTTATCATAATTACATATCTTCCAAATTCTAGGGTTTATAAATTAGGCGTTTTACCTTCAATTAAAATCTAAAAAATAAACTAATTAAATCCAACTATCTTTATTCATAAACAACATCAATAAACAACTTAAATCATGCTTTCAATCTAAAAATTAAAGATTTAAATAAATTAAAAAGGAGAGAAGAAGTTTTTTTTCTTCTTTTGTTACTAACACCGAAAAGAAGAGAGAGTCGAGAGGAGGGAAGCGGCTGCTGCTGGCGGCATTCGGTGGTGGTGGTCCGGCGACGGTGGAGTGTGGTGAGGAGAGAAAAAGACCATGGGAAAGGGAGTGAAAATAAGAGAGAGAAAAAGAGAGGAAAATAAATTCAGGGTTTTGTGAAATCTAAGCAAATGAAAACTTGTGTGGAAAAACTTGGGGTTTTGGAGTCTATAAACTCCCTTTTAAAATCATAAACAACTTATTTACTATCATGCCATAAATGAAATTCCTACTCCTTTTTGAAATATTTGCAAATTACAGCCATTTAAAGTGTGTATTTTGCAAATTGCAACCATTATAATTTTTTTTTTTGCAAATTGCAGCCCAAAAGTGCTACTAACTTGTTAATTGTCACCCAATCCTATTTTTGCTCGATTGCGTGCCGAAAATTGTCCTGTTAAGGTTTTGGGGGGTCTTACTAGTATAATACCTGTGCAATTGCACGGTTTAAATAGTTCAAATATTAAATCTCACATAATTTAAACTATTAGTTATCTTAGTAAATAAAAGCGAAATCTTTTAGTGTATATTAGTTGATTATTCATTGTTTAATTTTATAACAATTTTAATCACAATAATATGTGCACATCTAATCCTCTATCATAGCACTCCGTATCATGTTTTCAATTCGATGTTGAATAAAAAGATTAAGAAATGGCTATATGATAAATGTTTGATTTATGCCCTTCTAATATATTGGTTATGTTTTATCTTTTTAGATCGTAATGAATCATGTACATTCACATATTTCATATATTACCCTACATGTGCACTTTTGTTTTAATCAATAAAACATACTCTCTAAGTCCCATAATATAACCACAGACTCTTTTTTAAGAAAAAAAATACAGTGTCCAAAACATATTGTATATTGGTTGAAAAAGTCTCCCTATAATAATAGATCAAAAGTTACCCGAGATAAATCAAAGCCACCTCGGGGTTGACTCACACCAAAACACTGAGCGGGTAACCCCTGACCGATTGAGTAACCCCTGATCGATCGAGTAAACTCTAACCAAGTAACTCCGGCCCCACAATGTGGCCAGGCAGCGCATTTTCAGTTTGGCTGGCTACACCATTTGGCCGACTGACACACACTAAAAAATTGACCATATAGCCCCTGACCGATCGAGTAACCCTTAACCAAGTAACCCCTAATCGACCGAGTAAACCATGACCAATTAACCTCGGCCACACAGTGTGGGGTGGTAAGCCACATATTTGTGATAAAAAGTTAATTTGGGTATTTTTACCCTAGCCACGTGGACCAATAAGAGCGTGACACGTGTCACCCTAGGATGAGTCCAAAATGGACCTACCAAGATATGACACGTGATAAGCAGATAGTAAAGGAAATGGCGGCCTTCAAGGCCCATTTCCCGAAGCGTCGTAAAACGCCGCAGCCTACCAAATCTAGGTCAAGTGACCTACGTAAGGGCACTATTCCCAATGCCCTATAAATAGGGACATTTATCCCATTTTGGGGACAAGTTCAATTAATACATCATTACTAATTCTCTTACAATAGAGAAAACACCTGATCTCAGGATCCGAAAAGATTAACTTACTTTCCGCATTATACTCTCCGTACATGTACTAACTTGATCATCGGAGGCAGAACTCCGAACAACCGGAACTTCCGTTTGCTGCAGGTGCAGCCGAGCGAGGAGCCAGTCTTGGTGACGTGATTCTCCCGTAGGACATTTCGCGAAAAACCCCGAAACATTTGGCGCCGTTTGTGGGGAGAGTACCTCTAAGATGGTTTTTGAAGAGACTGTACCGCTTCCTAAGGACAAACATCTAGAAATAGAAGTTCCATTCGGACCATGATACAGAGTCAGATCCAGAGGTCGAAGTACATATGGCCAAAGATGGATCCCTCATCACAACACGTATCCACTAGAAAGAGAAAAAAGGGCAGGGCAATGGTCAGGCGGGTATGAGCAAGTCAGCCGGCCAGCATCAGGCTACACGACAAACTGCTCACATCACTCGTGAGGAGTTAGTAAAGTTCATGACAAACTTCAAAGGTGAGATGAGAGACCTCATCAAGACCCATACGGCTGGTCCAAGCAAAGGACAATCATCCAAGAAACCCTCTCCCTATGGGAAGACAAAGTCGGTCAAGGACAGGCAGCCCACTCGGCATCAAAAATAGAAGGAGGGGGACCGACCCTTAGTTGACTAGACTAATATTCATCTTCTAGGGGCGAATTAGAGAAAGCATATCCGGCATGTACAGCTGGATTGCAGCAAGAAGACTTACCCTGATGCTCGACATTTTATTGAGCAAAAGCGGAGCAGCTAACTGTCTGACATGGCTTTAACGCCTACAATGCTAGATAACTTCAGGAATACCTCGATGAGGTATTCCCCATCTACATAGGAGCACCTCTCAGGAGGCCAACCCGTCCACATAGGTCCTCAAATGATAGGCTCGGTGCCGTATGTGCCCCATCAAACATACAGGTTGTTTACCCAACCTTATTAGCAACTTACCTCTTTAGAGGTCAAGAAGCATATCAAGTCCAGCCCCCACACTGGCAGCTACGTCTGCTGAAACTTGGAGAAGAACTTTCTGCGTTCTCCAAGGAAATAACCGAGGCGGCACAACTTGCCAAGGTTATAAATGTCTTGGTTGGTGCCTAAGATGGCAACACCAACCCTGAAGACCACCTGATGGCCTGCACCAACCTCATGTATCTACAGGGGTTGGATGATGTCGCATGGTGTAAATGCTTTCCAGCTACACTAAAGGGCATTTCCCATCAGTGGTTCGACAACCTGCCGCCTGGGTGCATAAACAATTTCAGGATGCTTGCGTTCCTATTCGCCTCAAACTTTTCCATGAACATACCTGCCAAGAAGACAAGCAACGACTTAGTCACGGTTGTTCAGGGAGACATGGAAGGGCTCCGTTCTTATGTCAGGCGATTCAATCTAATGAGAATCTTGATCCAAGGACTGTCTGACGAATTTGCTTTTTCAAAAGTCTGAAGGATGGGTCGACTTTTAAGTTTGACCTCGTCCGGAAGAAAATCTTCACTCTTCAAGAAGCGCTGACAGAGGCAGAACCCTATGGCAACTGAGCTCTGCTCCTCTAGCAAGCAGTTGGACTCAAAGAAGTCTAACAAACAAAAAGGGAGTCGGCAAGATCAGCCGGCTCAAAAAGCTGAAGAGAGAAAGAAAGAAAAGAGGTTTAGGCGGTTGAGGACTCTGATCAGCCGTCCAAAAAGAAAAAGAAAGAGTTTAAATCGTACATCCCTAGGTACGAGTTGAACAAAGACTGCTACACCATCCTCATGGAAATCAAAGATCGGGTGGTACTTGGGAAGCACTCGGCAATGAAAGGTCCGACAGAAAAAACCAAAACATGGACAAGTATTATCACTTCCATGAAAATATTGGCCATGACACCAACGACTACTATAGCCTCAAGCGGTTGCTAAATAGATTGGCTGATAAAGGTGTGTTGAAATCTTACATTCTCAAATCCAAGGTGACCGTCCAAAAAGTCAGCAAAGGTTGATAGTGGTTCGGACACAGATCCGGACATGATCTACACAATTGTAGGCGGCTTTGCCTCCGGTGGTCCAACTATCAGAGGCACTAAGGACCATGTTAGACAGATGAATGTTAACTCAATCAATGAGGACCAGACGTCTGCCGACACTTTCCCTAAGGTCGTCATCTCTGAGAAGGACCATGGCAAAGTGCGCCGGTCGCATGAAGACCCAATAGTCATCGAATGCAAGGTGGCTAACCAAAGGGTTGGCCGGATCCTCATTGACACCGGAAGTTCGTCTAACATCATCAGCTAGCATTATCTGTCAAAGCTGAAGTACAAGCCAGGCAGCCTGCACAAGGTCACTCACCCATTATTTTTTTTAAGGGTGGAGTTGTGTACCCAATAGGTCGCATTGATCTGCCCATCTGACTGGGTGAGAAGGGAGAGGGGTGCCACATGGTCGTCCAGTTCTTGGTCGTAGAAGAGCTTACCACCTATAATCTTATTCTGGGGCATCCGACTCTAAACGAATCCAAGGCCAGCATTATGAACATGAAATTGACGGAGTTGAATCCTAAGCAACAAGCCAACGCTATTACATTGAGAAATGGCAAGGAGCTGAAAGAGACTGAAATTGCAACTAAGAGGGCTGAAGAGTTGATTGGAGCTGAGGAGAAGGAAGTGGAACATGAAGCTGTAGCAAATCCTCCCACTTTTCCATCTTATGAACCCACACCACCTTTTCCCGAAGCTTTGAAAGAAACAAAGAGGTATGAGAAAGACAAAGACATCTATGAAACATTCAGCAAGTGTGAGGTAAACATTCCCCTTTTGAATTTAATAAAAAGTGTTCCTCGATTTGCTAAATTTTTGAAAGAACTGTGTACTATAAAGAGGAAGCACAGGTTAGGAGGGAAGGAAAAAGTGAAAGTGAGTGCTCATGTTTCTGCAGTTTTCCAAAAGAAACTTCCTGAAAAATGTAGTGATCCTGGTATGTTTACTGTTCCAGTTACAATAGGGGACACCACTTTTCATAGAGCTATGTTGGATTTGGGTGCATCAATTAATGTTATTCCATACTCCCTGTTTAAATCTTTAAAACTTGGACCTTTACATGGAACTGGGGTAGTGATTCAGTTAGCGGATAGGTCTAATGTGTATCCTAAGGGGGTGGTGGAAGATGTGTTGGTTAAGGTTGATGGTTTGATTTTTCCTGCTGACTTTTATGTGCTTGACATGGAACATGACAAACAAGCAGTCCCCATCTTGTTAGGAAGACCTTTCTTGAAGACTGCTAAAACAAAAATCGATGTGTCTACCGGTTCCTTGACTATGGAGGTTGATGGGAAAGCAATTGGGTATAACATTTATGATTCCATAAAGTATCCTGTCAACACTCATTCTTTATGTTCTCTTAATGTTGTCGATCCAATGGTGCATGATGTTCCTAACAATCATCGTGGGGATGAGTTCCTCACACCTATAACTAATGTTGTATCTGGTGATTTCTTGGATTTCTCTATGCCTACTAATGTGCAGGTGAAGGTGGGGGAATTGAATGAACATTCCAAGCTTCCACCTATACCACCAGGTTCAACAATCGGCCCGTCTGCAATTCCGGGCAAGAAATTGTCCCATTTATACCACAAAGCAAAGAATAGGTTGTGGCATGACAAGATGATTGCTAGGAAGAAGGTTAAAGTCGGTGAAAAAGTACTCCTATATCAATCCCGACTTAGATTATTTCCGGGAAAACTTCGGTCCCGTTGGGAGGGCCCTTTTCAAGTGGTGAATGTATATCCGCATGGAGCAGTTGACATTCAAAGCCTCGAGACCGATAAGATTTTCAAAGTCAATGGCCAAAGGCTCAAACCCTACTTCGAGGGTTTCAAAACCGAGAACGTGGAGTGCATCGATCTCTACGAGCCATCAATGGAGTAGCGAAGTGGGATGAGCCGCGTCGAGCCAACGACGTAAAACAAAGGCGCTAATCGGGAGGCAACCCGATCGAAAACTCTTCCCCATTACTTTTCGTAGTTTAGTTTTTATTTTTTTCGTGTGATGTGAAGAGTGTTTTTATTGTTTTTGTGTAGGTGGAGGCCTTGGGAGCAATTTTTATGCGCGAAACGCAGCAAAAACAGAGCAAAACAGAGACAAGGGGGGCCTTCCCTGCAGAAGCCGCTGGCAGCTGCTCTGCAGCCGCTACCAGCGGGTCTTCTTGCAGCCCAAACCCCTTTGTTTCTGTCCCAGCCGCTGGTAGCTGCTCCTGAGCCGCTGCCAGCGGGCCCCCCCTCTACGTTTTGTTAATTTCAAAAAAAAAAAAAAAAAAAAAAAAAAAAAAAAAATCACCAAAATCTGCCAGAGCCGCTGGCAGCGGGCCTCAAGCCGCTACCAGCGGCTCCTACAGCTCTCCCCGATTTTTTTTTTCCCCTTATTTCCCCTTTTCCAACTCCAACTTCATTATCCCCCAATTCACATAAACCCTTACTCCTTTTCTTCTCCTTCTCTCTACTCATTCATTCCCCTACTCCAATTATACCAAATTCCTACCAATTTCCCTTTCCCAAATCTTCATCTTTCATCAAATTCTCAATTCCCATCACAATTTCACCTAAGGTTTACCATTTTTCTTGATTTCAATTGTGAAATTGAGTTGGTTGTGTGGAATTGCAAGCTTAATTTATTTTCATTGAAGGTGAAGGTGAAGGTGCAAGTGAACATATTCCTTTTTATAGCCATGGGTAGAGACAACAAGAGGTCTAAAGAATCATCTCCATCAAGACCCTCAAGGGGCAAGAAGCAAGGGGCTTCTTCAAGTCAAGGGGAGGCACCTCCATTGCCTCAAGGGGATGGTTTCATGGGTGTTCGGTTGCATTCCAAGGAGAAGGGCGTATGGACTAAGCTTCAACAACCCCGACGAACGGTGCAATGCACCAAGTTCTTTGACTTAGAAGCTCTACAAGAGCTAGAGATGGAGGAAGGAGTGCGGCTCTTGCTAAGGAACGTGGGTCTCGAGAATTTCATGACCAAATGCGCTCCCACCTATGTCAGGTATACATATGAATTCCTTTCAACGCTTACTAAAGGACGTGAACAAATATCCTTTAATTTGAACAATAGGAATTATGTGATGTCTTATGATGATTTGCGTATGGCATTTGGTTGGGATGCACCCCCATTGGTGAACCGTTGGGGTGATTATAGCACGTACTCGTCCCGAACATTTTGGAGGGCTATAACTGGTTGTGAAGTTGACCCTCATGGTGATCATAGCTTCAAAATCACCCACCCATGCCTTAGACTGGTGCATAGGTTTATATCGTCCACTATTCTATGCCAAGGGGAGGCCACTAAGGTCCCCAAAGTCACATTGTCGTATTTGTGGGCGATGACCCCTGAAGGTGTCGGTACGCCCAATTGGGTGGAGATTTTTGTTGATAGTTGTGTAAAGGTGAAGTCCAACTCCAGTGGCCATCTTAGTATGGGTGGCATGGTCTCTTTGCTAGCCTGTTATTTGAATGTTCCACCCCCTGAGGATCTTGTGCCAGTAGACTCGACATACTTGACATATAACATCATGACTCTGGTCAAGATCGGTTTATTATCGCGTTCCCCCGTCGCCGGTAGTTATTTCTGGCGATACGGACCGCAGGGTTTGAACTATTTGAGACTTCCTCGTCCCGAGGGACGAGCATTACCTTTTGGCCCTACTGCTGCAGACTTTTTCCTTCCGCCCGACCCGGATGTTGCTCCTTATTTGGGAGATGCTGAAATCATAGTTGAGAACATGGGAGAGGAGAATCCCGATGTTCATATGGGCGGAGAGTTTGTTGATGAGGAAGGGGGTGAGGATGCTGCTGGAGTGCAGCACGATGATTGGCCTCGATGGAGGGCTGATGTGGATGATAGACTAGAGGAGGTGTGCGATGGGATGCACGAGCTGCTTGCATATCAAAGAAGCATGAGTCGGTTTTACACCACTCAGTATCCGCAGTATGAGCCTCCAACTGAGGCGTTCATGGATCATTTGGCATCCCGTGCTTTGCGTCGTTCCGAGAGGCGTGCTTCTCGGGGCGATGCCGGCTCTTCTGGCTCTGGAGGTCCCTCTCATTGAGATGGTAACGATTTTCTTCCTTTTCCCTTACTTTTGGTTTCATTGTAGTTGTTCTTGCATCGAGGACAATGCTTCATTCAAGTAGGGGGGGGGAAGAAATTCTTGCATATATTCTTTGAATTTTGTATAGTTATCTTGATTTCATGTTTTGTATAACTATCTTAATTGTGGTTCAATGAAGCAAGCTTGAAAAAAAAAACAGAAAAAAGTATGAAAAAAAAAAAGAAAGAAAGAAAAAAGAAAAAGAAACCCGCTAAGTCGAAAACCTGAAAAGGCGGCTTAGGCAAAAATGGGGGCCCGGTTAGGTTGAAAACCCGAAAGGGCGACCTAAGCAAAAAAGTGGCTAATGAGTGGGTGAGAAAGTGAGATTTGGAAAAAGATGAGAGGCTAGGATGAAAACCCGAAAGGGCTCCTAGGCAAAATGAGAGAAAAAAGAGAGAAATGTTCATGAATTTGATTTTTCAAGGAAATTTCGCATCTATTTGCCGGAGTCGGTGTCATAAGGGGAGGAGATATAAGGAGGTGTCGGGGTAGGTTTCATCTTGGTGATTTTGGGAGATAGTTGAGATTTTGGGGGAATTTGTTGATCATCTTAGGAATTTGAGAGCATGAGTTGTTTGTTTTCACTCTTGAATGTGGAAGTGTTTTTATGAGATTTTTGGTTAAGTTGAGTTTTTGTTTGCCCAATTTTATCAAAAATTTCATTTCTTTAGGCGGTTGAGAATATTCATACTCATGGCTATGCGTTTATCGTTCCAAGTTGATTTTGGGGATGAATTGATAAATAAGAAAAAAGGGAGATTCAAAGTGTGAAGTATGGGGGAGTGTGATTGTGATTGGTTGATAAGTACTAGGATGTTTTGTTGAGTTTGAGTGCATAGAGCTAGTTTGATTCCACCATCTTCTGTTTTGAACCTTAGTGAGGAGGATGTGTTTTATTCTCTAAGTTTACTCGAGGGCGAGTAAAGGTTCAAGCATGGGGGAATTTGATAAGCCTTCTTATCATGGGTTGAGAGAAGCGTTTTAGGGTGTGTTTTGATGCTTTATATGTACTTTTGTTAGCTTTTGTGAGTTTTGGGCTGTGATCTCACTTATGTGCAAAAGGCGGGATTTATGAGTATAAGTGAGTGAGTGAGCTCGGGAACCAATGAAGAGTTATGTAAGAAGGATGGACCTTGGCTCGTGATTTGAGAGTTGTGATGGAGCATGGAAGAGCAAGGAAGAAAGCTTGAGGAAAAGGTGAAGCAAAGCAAGAAGAAGAAGCAAGGAAAGAAGGCGAAAACAGCAGGAACCGCTGCCAGGGCCGCTGGCAGCTGGCCAGAGCCGCTGGCAGCGGGTATACCAGAGTGAGGGGCTGCCAGAGCAGCTGCCAGCGGGTCCAGAGCAGCTGGCAGCGGCTCTGGCAGAAATTCGGGCTGTTTTGGTTAATTTTCAGCAATTTGGCTTTGTTTTGGCTCGTGTTTTGGATATTATTTTATTATTATTATTGTGTTATGTTATTAAAATATAGAAACATATAAATAGCTTAGTTTTAATTAAGTTTGAAAAAAAAGGAGAATTAAGTCTTGAGAAAAAAAAGCTTTCTAGGGTTTTCTTGGAATTTTCAGAATTCTTTGTTTTGGAATTAGAATCCATGGAAGCTTAATCTTCCGGATTCTTGGTTAAAGATTGAAGCTTTTAGCTACGAATTGTGAGATCTTTCTTCTCTTAATATCTATTGAATATATATTGTTCCTTGAATTAATTTCATGATTTGCTTTAATCAATTGCTAGGTTAGAATTATTGGATTCGCTTGCATCTAATTAATCTTTCCAAAGTAGCAACTTTAGGTTATTGATGCATGCTTTTGGTTGATAACTTGAAGAGGGAATAATATTATTGAAGAAATTAGACCGCTTGTGTTAATTTATTCAATCCTTGTTGATTTCTCCGTTTATTTTCTTCTTGTGGATAATTTAGAGCGCTTGTCTTGAATTGTGCATTGGAAAGGGTTAGAAAGGAGCGCTTTGCTATTTCTAACTATTTATGAGAATTTAGAATCTAGGAATTCTACAACAAGGTGTTCAATAGAGCTTGATTGAGGAGACTTCTATGATCAATTTGTATGTTCATTAGTGGATTTCGCATAACCAAGACCGTTCTTCTCATTGATTACCTATTCATTACGTTCGTTGTTCTTACTTAGTTCATTTATCATCATTGCTCGTGAAAACCCCCCTCGTTACTTAGGTTACTACCGTCCTAGAGTATTTCCACTTAGGTTTCCAGTTATTAGTCCCTTTTTCCCTGTGGATTCGAACTCGACTTCCCTAACTACGTTTATTTGCAGTTAGCTTAGTTGTGATATTTTTGGTTGCATACGACTGAGGCACACCACATTATTCCCTCCCTCATGCCGTTGAAATTTGAGAAGGATGACGGTTTTGTTGGCTCCTTGAATGGAGATTAGAAGACGGCTCGAGAGTGTTATCTCTCAGACGTCAAGCCTACGGCAGTTGGCTGGGACATGGAGCCAATAGACCTTAACGATGTCAAGGAACCTAAGTCTGCCCCACCAGCAGGCGGCAAAAAGAGAAAGGCTGACCAGCTGGTGACTGTCAAGAAAGAGAAGCAATAGCAATCACTGACCGGGGAATGGTCAGATGAACTCCGTCCCAGCTAGCTGGTGAACATATTGAAATTAATCTGGATGAACACGTCCAGAGCGAACTGTAAAGGTGGGGACAGTTGCTTTTGCAAAGTTGGGGGTAAGCTTGCACAATCTGTTGAAGGAATTCAAGGACATTTTTGCCTTTGAAGTGGAAGAGATACCTGGTATTAGCTCGGATCTTGCTGTCCACAAACTCGCTATTTACCCAAAGAAGAAGCCTATCAGGCAAAAGAAAAGAAATTGTGGTGAGGAGAGAAGTCAGGCGGCAGCCACTGAGATTAAGAAGTTGTTAGACGTCGGGTTCATTCGGCAATGTCACTTCCCAAATTGGCTAGCAAATGTTGTTCTTGTGAAAAAAGCCGAATGGGAACTAGCGCATGTGTGTTGACTACACAGATCTGAACAAGGCATGTCCAAAGGACAGTTATCTGCTTCCAAGATTGACAGTCTGGTCGACTCTTCAGCCGGACATACGATAATGAGCTTTATGGATACCTATTCAGGC